AACTCACGACCTTGCGCTTGCCAGGCAGGCGCTTTGCCGCTGAGCTAAATCCCCAGCCCCTATCACATAATTTCAAAGGCCAATGAGAAATGTCTGAAGACTTTTTACTTTGGTTAGATAAGTATTTTAAGACTTTGATATGTATTAACAATATTCAGTAATCCAGCTGCCCATATTTTCTTTTTAAGCGTGAGTCCGAGCTCTAGAAGTAAATACATCCCTCTCTACACGTGAGTACTGTTTGTCGGCGTCCACAAACACGGTGTGTCTGCAGGCGGCCGTGTTCCCCGGCTCTTTAGAGGCCGCGGTGTGTGAGGTTTCCTGGCAGGGCGCGCGTCTGGCGCCAGGTGTTCCAGCACACGTGTGTCGTAAAGACTTTGACTGGATAAAAAAGGAGGAGTCATGTTTTCCTGTTTTCCTAGATGGGTTACTTCTATGAAATAATAAAATCCCCTGATTTCGTCAGCCAGAGAGGGTCTAGGGGCGCCGGCAGGCCGAGGTCTCGGGGCGGCAGGATGAGCCGCTCTTCTCCCACTGCACGAACCAGGCCTGGGGCTGCGGCGCCTGTGCCCGCGGGGTGCCCTCCCGGGGCGGCTCCTCAGGGGCAGCTGGGGCTGGAGCCGGCCGGCTGCGATCGTGCGGGTGGGGCGCCCTCCCCTGCCGGGGCCCCTCTCCTTCCCTCCAGGACTGCCGGGGTGCGGGGCGGGGAGTCCCCTGCTGTGCGCGGGACAGGCGGCCCCGGGTGGGCCGTGGATGCCCCCTGCCCGGGCCCGCCGCGCCGGGTCCTTCCTTCCGCGGGTTCTACTGTTTGCTCGGAGGCGCCCACGAGGCCTCCTTCGGAAGCGGGCCCGGCCAGCTGCGCCTCCCCGCAGCCTCTGTCCTTCCTCCCGCAGCGGCCACCTGCAGACCGCAGACGCGGACGCCGTGGACGACCCCTGCGGAGACGCCTCGGCCTTGGCCGGGCCTCGGCGCTCGAGGCCTCTGTACACAAACACGAGCCGGTGAGCCCCTTCGCTTCTCCTGTCCCGCACAATGAGACCTGGGGATGGGCCTTATTGCAAGGGAAGGGTAAAAACCATTGCCTCGCCCAGTGTGGTCAGATGCCTGCAGTCCCCAGCGCCCGGAGAGGCCGAGGCAGGAGGACTCCAAGTTTGAGCCCAGACTGGGCAACTTAGTGATGTAGTGAGACCCTGAACCAAAATAAATAAATAAAGGGGCGGAGGGTGTAAATCAGTGCGCAGGCCCTGGGTCCCTCCCCAGCACTAGAATGCATCAGGAGAGACGGACCATGTAAATCAGTGCTCAGGCCCTGGGTCCCTCCCCAGCACTATAATGCATCAGGAGAGACGGACCATGTAAATCAGTGCGCAGGCCCTGGGTCCCTCCCCAGCACTACAATGCATCAGGAGAGACGGACCAGTCGTTTCAGGGACTCAGCAGAGGGCTTTTAGCAAGCAGCTTCACCCTACGACCTCAGTCTGTTCATCCGGAAACTGGCACAAATGCCACCAAGCCAGCAGGTCGGGGCAAGTAGCTTTAGCGCCCAAGTCCCTCACGAGCTGGGGTGTGGCTTCCACTGAGCCCCCGGCACTTTCGCACCACCCTGAAGTCCGGCCGTCTTTAGCTGGGGACCCTCTGTGCCTCGTGTTAGAAAGCACGGCTTCCTGTTTACGTCTCCGAGGAGCACACGCTCTGCACGCACGGACACTGTAACCGCGGGAACACCGAGTCTCAGAGAAGTTAAGGGACAGGCACCCGCTTGGGGACCGGGTCCGGGACCCGGGATCCCAAGGCCAGAGGGTGCTCAGTTCTCTCGTGTGCAAAGAGGAGGACTTGCGTAGATGAGCGTCTTCTTTAAAACACAGCTAGGTTACTTATAACACGTAATGCAACGTAAACGTGGGCTGTAGATTCACTGTATGTTCAGAGAACACTCAGAGAAAGGAGTTTGTGCGCGCTCAGAACAGCGGCAGTTTGCTCCCGATCTCTCCTCTCTGCAATTGGCTGGGTCCGCAGAAGGAAAGCGCAGGAAGTGGAGGACTGATCCTGCTTCTGCGGCCTCCCCGGCGGCCTGCGGTGGTGTCCTGGGCCGCTCCGCCCTCAGCTTCCAGAGTGAAGGACAAATCGGATCGTTCCCCGCAGGGCCGTAGCCCCAGCCGCCAAGTGCTGTAAAATGAGTTTTGGAAACATCACTTGTGCCCCTGAGGTAAACCAGCTAGTTTTCGCATTCGCACGTTTTAGATCTCTTCTATTATTTCTAAAATGCAATGCTACCTCCCGCAATAGCTGTGAATCTTTCTGTTATCTATTTTAGCTAACTCTTTGGACTGTCTGTAGTCAACTGTAAAACACGTTTGAAAACTCTTCGGCGTTAAACTACAGTAACAGAACCTATGTCGCTGCAGAATTTAATGAGCCTACAAAACTGGGCTCCAAAAATGTCACAGACACTGTGCCGAGAAGAGCAGCAACATAAAGATAACAAAGCAAAGGAATCGACTCTGGACACAAACAGTCAAAAAGCGGGTGAGACGAATCCCACAAAAAAATTAGTTTAATTTTTCTGAAGCACAGCAGAAGAGAGAGACTTTGCGCTTGGACTTGAGAGCTGGCACACCGTGTGGAGTTCTGCAGAAGGAACTAGGTGATGCGCTTCTCCCAGAAATTCTGCAAAGAAACTATTGCTATTCAACATCAAAATCCTAGCAGTGGTTCTGCAAACCTGGCCCCCAGCTAACTGGGAGGCTGAGGCAGGAGGATTCTAAGTTCTAGGCCAGCCTGGCCAGCTTGGTGAGACCCTGTCACAAAAGATAAAACGTTTAAAAAAAAAAAAATAACTAGGGATGTATCTCAGCTTGAGGCCCAGCTAAATCCCCAGTACTGCAAAAACAACCAAAAAATAACAAAAACCATAAAAACTTTAAAGAGAGGCTATGAAAAGAAGCCAATTTGAAAACACTTTTCAGGGATAAAAAAATCAATAATGTTTCTCTTTTGAAATTATATTTGAATTTTGAAGTGTTTTACCAAGCATACTTGTCAGGTACTCTTTTGGATGAGTCTTCAAAGAGAATCAGGAAAAATGTAGAAGCATTTTTAAAATGTGATGTAATAACATACTGTTCCACTTGAACAAATATGGGAGTGTGCTATTTGCCTCATCTTGCCATAAATATCTATTTAAAGGGAAGTGAAATTACAAGCTGATCGAGTCGTAAATGGACAGTAACTGTAGCTCTCTCTTTTGCACACTAGAGGGCGACGGAGCTTGCAAATTTCTTCTCGATTCTTTTTTTTTTTTTTCAATTTTTAACAGAATCTTAACCTTTTAACACAAAGAAATATCTTCCATTTTTATTATAAAGTACTTACATGTGCAAAAGATGCGATGTCATATGTAATTTGTAAAATAATGCCACATTTACTGTGTATAACCCACCTGGCTTCAATAGATTTCTACTCAACCTTTAAACCACACCGGGCCTCCGCCCAATCCCTATTGCCCGCATTCGGTTCCGTCCCGCCCAGAGCTCATCCCTTTGCGCGCAGTTTTTTTTGGCTTGCTGTACAGTGTTAGTCCTAGTACACAGGCTTTAAGGAGGATATCCTGTAGTTTCCACAATACCACGTTGAGCAAAAAAATAAAAGACAGAAAAATGTATAAAGTAGGATGACATTTTCTCAAAGCCGCAGATCCAGAAACACATATATTTGGTGCCACTTGAGGCATAGGATCACCCTCTTCACATACGAATTTCCCGATTGTGCCATGTGTCACCTGACCGGCGGGATTCAGCCGTGGCTGGCAGCAAGCTCCCCATGGGTACCGCTTGAAGTTTTTCGTGTTCCCTCATTCGGTATTTTGGTCACCAAGCCGCCTGACATGCCGGGTGGGTTTTCTGTTACCAGGCTGTACTAACAGTTTAAAACAGTTTATCTGTGTTATGGAATTAAATCTGATCACTATAGGAAAGTTGTACAGAAAGTGAATAACAATAAAAATGAACTCATGCAAAACCATAACTGCTGTTGACAGTTCAGTACGTTCTTATGTGTAACATGTATCTAGCCTTGCTTTTGTGTATTCCTGCAGCTGTGATCTTACTACATGCAACACGCTCGCCATCTTAATAACATAATTATGGGCACACATTTTCGTGAACTCACCCTGAGTTCTGTCTGTGCAGTTGCTGATGTTTCTTTAGGTTACTTATGTAAATTGCTGCCATTTTTGTTCTGATAAATGATTCTCTCAAATACTTTTTGCATAAATCTTTTGTGATTTGAAATTATTTATGTAGGAGAGACTCCTTGAAATGGATTTTAGGGTCACAATTTACAAACATTCCTAAGCCTACTGCGAAATCGTTTTCTGGAAGTATTTAGAGAAATTCACAGCGGAGTGAGCACTTGTCCTCACCGTTAATGCTAACACACAGGTTCCCCAGTCACCACTGCGTTATCCGCCAACATGCCCATTTTAAAAATTATTCCAGTATTTTTAAAGCACAGATGAAACCTCACTTCCCTTTTCAGTCGCACTGTTCAAAGTCTGACTTTATCTTAGGCTTCCTCCCCGTGAAGCTGTGCATGCTGCCGTGGGAACATACATGTGCACCATGCGTGTGCACGTGTGAGAGATGCAAGCCTGCACTGGGAACATGTCCTGTGCCAAAACCCTCCTCACGGCTGCATGGTAGCAGCGGTAAGTCGGTGTCCAGTTCATACGGTTCTGACTAAAGGATTTTTCCTGCTATGAATAAAGCAAAAACCACCTTGTTACATATCTTTGCATTATGATGCGTGCGTGCCTATAGATCAAATGGCAGAAGTTGCAGTTACTGCACGAGTTTTCTCATTTAAAAGCTGTCCTGACTTGGTAGGCATGCCCAGGCATTTAGGGTTGAGAAACTCAAAATACTAGTGTGGCTCCCACTGAGCTCCTCCTGGCTGAGAGTCTGAGGCTGCCCTCGGAACGAGCGCACTCCTACAGGAACTACCGGGATGACTGTGTTGCTTTTTATCTCAACAGATAAGTGCCGTGAACAGCTCTGGGTGATGTTTGTGACATTTAAATGGTACAGGCTAGCTCCCGTTTCTACTCTGTGAAGCAGTGAGAGGAAGGCCGGGAGGAGGGTCTTCCTTCCATGTCTGGCTTCTTCCCATCGTGTGACCGCAGAGCCCCAGGACAAGGAGCGAGGCGAGGCCAGGTTCTCTGGGTGACGGCTCCACACGCTGCGTGGTCAGGAGCCGCCAGGGCCAAGCGTGGAACTGCAGGTCTGGTCCTTGCGCAGTCAGGACGCAAGCGCCTGCCCTTGCCTTTGCCCGGAAAGACACAAGCCGCCGCCTTGTTTCCCGGGGCCTAAGGTGGACATGTCTCACCCTCAGGTTTCCAAATCAGGCGTCTGCCTCCGCCATACTGGCCTCCGCTCACTGCAGTCCTCGGTCTCAGAACATCACGGTTGCTTATTTGCTGTGCTTTTCCACCTCAGTGATTTCTGTAAGAAAGCATTTGCAAAAGAAAGAAGAGGAATTGTCCAAGCTGGTTTCCCGGACGGCACCTGGCGGATGTCTGAATGGAACAAGGAGGCTCCCCACCCGCCGCTGGGCTATGCTGCAGTCTAAAAAAAACCGATGCCACAGTCCAGGTTCAAGAGTCACTATGAATAGTAGTTCCTTACACCAGCGCGACACTTCTGCCTTTTGGGAGGACTTTCACATCTGCTCCCTCATTTGCTTTTCAAATAGTATGACGAGGCCAAAGGTTGGGAACCTGTCCTGTCCCCGTTTGGCTGATGGGGAGGCTGAGGCAGGAGGAAACCATGCAGAGGGTCCCAAATCATGCATTTCATGAGAAGCCCAGAGGAGGGGCCTCGGCATCCCCAGGGTGGACCCTTGCCCTTAATCCACGTCACACTTGCCTTTTGCCTCTGGCTGGGGTCTGGCTGCTGGGGCTTCACCCTCACGTGTTATGTCGACACCCGCTTGTAAATGGAAGGCG